CGCTCGGGGGGCTAAGCATTCCCTTAGCCCCCCGAGCACGGCCTTCATCCAACCATTCCTTCACAATACCACTGAACACTCAAGACAAAAGGGGTTCGAATCAGCTTGTTAGAAGCGTACATTCAGGAACTGTTCCACAGACCTTGTTACTAAAACCCACTTCTGCATTAGTAGGAAGATAGTACTAACTTTGTGAAGAGTAATTTGTCATTTCTCTCTAGCGGTTTGGTTACAACCGACAGCCCTTGGACTGCAATTTTTATCTTGAATGGGAAAATGGCCAGTATTTCATTTTTCTATTTAAGGTAAGACCCACAGTTTTGTGACAATCTCCAGTCCTCTGATCAAAGAAAGATCCAACCAATTTCTGAAGCTTCCAATTGCACAATAATAATGAAAAAAAGGTAGCAACAGTACGTTAAATCTACTGTAGCAGGCAACTTTCATAGAGGTGAGCCACATTAGCAGAGGGATTTCAGCTACCCTGATATCTACTGGAAGCGTGCTACAAATAAAATAATATTTTCTTCAATTTTTTTCCTTTCCAACAACTTCAATGTTCTGAAGGTGCAAGAAGGGGATATCCTAAATATAATCCTGACCAATAAGGATGACTTGTTTGAAAATGGAAGAAACAATTGTGTGGAATTCATGGCTAGAAAGGGCTGTGAAGATTAATCTTATGTGCCTTTGGATTTCAGGACAGCTGCTTCAAAAAAGATTGGGAAAATGTTGGGTAGGAACCCATGAGAATAGATCAAAAAGCATCAAATATGTCATCTTCAAACACCTGAAAAGCTCTCATGAAGAACATGGAGCAAAGTTGTCTTCTGCTGCAACAGAAGCAGGACTACAACCAACAGGTGGAAATTGCTGGGAAGCTGACATGGCTAAACTTTAGAAGCAGCTTATCCTGGGTTATTCAGCCCGGGTAAAAAGACTGCTTTGGAAAAAGAGGTCCTTAGACAGATTCCAGAAAGAACCTGGAGCAGCGTTCAGAGTTAAATTGTGGCGCAAGGGCTTAATGACGCGGGAGTTGCCGGTCAGAATGATTGGCTCTTCAGCGGTTCGAGCCCAGC